CTGCACTGGCAAGAGATGTTCTCCATTAGAGATCCTTTTCAGGACTGACTGCTGCTTTTATAAGTCACTATGTATGTTCAAAATACTTGTCTTCTCCTTTTTGATGGGTTAAAAAAAAATATAGGAAAGATTACCTCTGAAAAGCAGAAAGCTACCCAAACGGAGGGTGGGAGATAAGAAACAAAAAAACAACTTGCAGTGAACAAGGCTTGGAGAAAGACTTTTCATGTGTGTTGTAGCTTCTAACTCCTCTCTTCCCTTCTCCTGGAGCGACCCCTAATGGGATGTGACATGGGTACCACTGACCTGTGTGTCACCAGCCCTGCCACTGGGATCCAGGTATCCAAGGGTGGCAGCCACATACCCCCAGGGTTGCCCCTGGGTCCTGCTGGTCCCAGTGGTATGTGGTCTGCAAAGGAAGCAGAGGGAGAAGGCAAGCCATAATGGTGAGTGGTAGGCATAGAATATTCTGGAAGTATGCAGTGGTGTTCACTGAAGAGGAAGGACTGATGCAAAAAGAGACAGAAGAAGGAGTCCATGTGCATTCAGCAGAGGAAGAAGATGACTCCTGTCCCAGATACAGTGGAGGGAGACACTATGAAAGCCTTTTCCATTAGTATGGCCCTCATGGGATCAGGGGAGTTCAATTGAAAGAGCCAGAACTGTCTGTCCTGCAAATTCATTTATGGCAGCTGCAGAAACAAAGGAACAAACAGGAATTGACCATTCTGCTTTATGTACACGTGTATACACACACCAGGGCCTCTACACCTGAACATCAGAGCTGTCCTGCCACAGTGCCTGGATGGACATTCCTCTTTAGAGCTTCTGACACGAGACCTGAGTGCACAGCTGAGTTTCTGGGTACCACACATTCAGCCACAGTGGGTCTTACGAGACAGAGCACGCGGATTTAACAGCTCACCTCATCTGAGAAGGGGAGTTTTTGGTCCTTTTCTGGTCCTGGCTGTTACTGCCCTTGCTAAATTGATGCCAACATAATTGCTCATCAGATCTGCTGTGAGTCACCCCAAGATGCTAAAGTTGCAGAACAAAACCAGCAGCACAAAAGAAAAGAGTTTAATAGTTTCCTGGTATTTTAATTTATTTGAACAACTCTTAGCGGTAAGGGAGAAAAGTAGTAGCTGCCCAGCCAAGGGTGGGAGCTGTTAAAGTCAGCTGCCTGTGGGTGTGTACCCTTAACCAGCCCACCTGTCAGCTTTGTTGCATGGACAAACCTACCATTTGACAGAAGATAAAACCATTGTTCAGTGGGTTGGTGCCATGGAAATATCCCAGCAAGAAAAAGAAAGGGAAAGAAAAAGTGAACAGTACATAAATAGTGTAAATTGGAAAGCTGTAATATTGTATATACCAGGAAGTGTACTCCCAGCAAAAGACAACTGCATTCAAGCAAAACTAACAAGTAGGATACATTGAAGTTACTATCCACTGTAGATTCAGATTTTATGGAACAAATGAAACAATTCTCTGGAAATCTGGCAACACCCACTTCTAGATTGCAGCCATTATCCTCACCTTCAGTGCTGAAAAGCAGTGCAGGAAAGAAACACAGGAAATGAAATAGCAATGCAGGAGCCCTGACAGGACTCCTGTAACTTGCTCAGTAAGGAGAGGGTTAGTTCCTAAAGCCAGCTGTTGACTGTGCTGATTTTAATACAAATTAGTAACATTTTAGGTAAATCCAAAGATGTTGAACCTGAGAAAGGAATAAAATAACTAAACCAATAGAATTCTGAGCTGTTTAGACCTTTGGTTATTTTACACTTAGAATCTTGCAATGCATTCATTGTTGCATGGGATTAGGGAATTACTATAGAGATAAGCAACTTCCCTATAGGAAGACCTTTTGGTTTCTGCAGGTATAACTCCAAGGTGACATGGCTAACTGGCCTGTGACAGCAGAAATGGCAGCACAGACTTGGAAGCGTGGCTTGTAACTCAATCCTTTCCACCAGCAGCATACTGCTTGACACAGGTCACTGCTAGGATGTGTGTGACCATACCTTGGCAGAGCTAAGATTCAAAACTTACCTATCCTTTTATTCCTTACTTCTGAAATCTGTCTCTACCCTGTTTATACTAGTAGGATTTTGTATCAGCTCGTAACTATCACAGATGAAGGCTGCAAAAGGCTTTTGGGGTTCCTGGGTTGGAACACATATCAAGGCTTACTATTTCCATCAAAGCCAGGTCTTAGGCATTTCCACTAATTGTCTGCTACGTTCATAAACCTAGCTGGCTGTCATCATAAACCTGTAATTCATTCTACATACTGCTTATCATTTTAAAATTGTCTTTAATGCAGAAGGCTTTGTTCTTGCACTTCCTTTTAAAAAATCCAAGTTAATCCAAATGATACAAGTGATTGGTGGAGTAGCTGCTGCTGAACCTCTCTCCATTGTTTAGTCACTCTAATCAATTCCGCAACAGGCATGTGTCACAACTGTGCAGGTACATACAAAAAACCTGTCCAACCTGAAAGCCCTGTCTAAGGAAATTTTTCAGGCATGCCTTTAAAGCATCTACTGCTGTGGTTAAAAAAAGTACAGTAGATCTGCACTGATCACATTTGTCATCTCATTATCAGTCAGCTCAGCAAAGTTAAGAGGTGGCATACAGAATGTGTATGAGCACATAGAAAGTTTTGGAGCAGCATCATTGAGGATTGGGGTCAGTTAAAAATGTGGGGAGGTTAGCAGCAGGCAGTGACTACTTTGAGAACAGAAAATTGCCTTTTCCAAAGCTCAGCAGGGTGATATAGAGGAAAAGTTGATGCTTGGCAGGTCAGGGGGCCTCAGTACACACAGATGAAAAGGAAATTCTGAAGTCAGCAGCTGACCGATCATGAATTCCCAACTACCAAGTAGCCAAACATACTTAAAATTTATGTTTCCCTTAATCAAATGGTCTTTCCTCCATGTAGACTTGTAAGAACTGTTTCCTGCTTGAGCATCTATTAAATCAACAGTCAGCCTTTAAAAAGGGAAGTGCCCTTCTGTATCCAACACTGTCACACTGTCTAAGGGCCCTGGGGATCTAAGTTGACTCCCAGTATTTGGAACGTATAACGTACAACTCAACTGAGCAGCCAAAAAAATAACCCACCTGATTGAGTTCCAGTTAATGTTCTGCACAGCTACTATTCTTTCAAAATACTGTAACAGTCCTAGTAAAGTGATGACTCTTTACCTATTAAAAATGACGAGTCTTTTGGCTGCATTATTTGAATTTGGTACAAATCCTAACTCCAGGGCCAAAAATTAAATTTCTCTCTACGTTTAGCTCCACAAATACCTCATTTGAAGTATTTGAAGCCTCCTGAAGAGATTTGGTAACTAGTACAGTTATTGCCCTGCTTCACAGAAATGGTTGTGCAGAAGGGTCAAAGAAAAGGCACGCTGTCATGCAGAAATCAGTATCGCCTCTGAAGAACACATACACAGAACTGCTCACTTGGTTCCTCTTGAACAAGGGGAACAATTTTGTCTGCTCTAACACTACCTTCCTATGCAGAGAAAGTGGCAGCAGGAAAGGACTCACTAACTTAGCCCTCTGTAGACAGAATAAGAAGGGGCAGAATGGGAATATCTGATAATCCTTCATTGTGGCTGTCACTAGCTTTCTTTGGTTAGAAGCATCTGGCAACACAAGAGAGGAATTTGTTTAATTCCCTTGTGTTCCTGCTTCGGCCCTTCCTTTTCAAGCCCATACAGCCTTGACAACAACTGAGCCATTGCTCAAGAGTGATATGCCATGTGGATCAGTGCTAGCAGCATAAAATGAAAGTCTATGTGCAAATCACAGATCCAGCCCCAGTTTAAAGACAAATATAGGACCACTGTGTCAAGCATCTTACATGCTTGGCTGTCAGACAGCAATGGAATAATAAGATTTACAATTCTGTAATTAACTTCAGAACTTTGGAGCAACACGCCTGACACGCTAAGGGTTTTCATTTCCCCAATAGGCAACTCTAGCTGTGCTATGCTGCAAACATCCGTCATGTTTACTAATCTTAGTCTGACCCCTAGTGAGCTGTCACAGAATAATCAGATTTATCAAACATGAGGCAGCTTCCTGAGAGGCAGCTACCATAAAAACAAGTAATTTCTCCCCTTTTTGGTTCTGGGTGTTTTTTGTACTTTTTCCCTTAAAAATACTTGGTTACTATTACTAGTAGCATAACATAATGAAAAGTGAAGGGTCAACTCAGAAGTTTAAGGCTGTCTTCTGAAAGTCAGGATGTGAAAGAGTGCATAGGACCTAGTATCAAATTCACTTAATTTATTTCTGCATACAAGGTGGGTTTTGCATCCTTCCCCTCCTTCTGTTTTGGGTTTTTTTTTTTTTTTTTTTTTTTTTTGGCAATCAGAATCTCCTTCTTCAGAGTTATGAGGGATTTTTGTTGCTGAAGGAGATAAAGTGCAAGTTGCATCTGGTTAGATAGTAAATTTAAATTACCAAATACCTTCACAGAAAAAAAAAAAAAAAAAGGTGCAAGTTAAAGTAGTAAATGTGTTTTGGAGGACCGAAATAACTTGCACGAATTTTCAAGCTGTTAGAAGCTTCTAGGTTTTTGTCAGCTTCAACCTCAGCATTTTGTTCATACTGGATATTTCTTGCTCAGTCTGTTTATGCCAAGTAGTTACAGGCCAAAATATAATCAGTGTGCGCTTGCCTTGGCAGTAACACAAGCACTGTAAAATTTTTATGGATTTTTTTCACTGCATGAAGATCCATCTATCAAGCACACTGACAAATTAAAAAAAGTAATTTGCCCAGCCTCCAAAATGTACCCACGAGAGTTCAGGCTTCTCTTTTTCTTTTTTTTTTTCCAAGTGTTTTTCTGTAGTTGTAGCCAAGAGGAGTATCTCAGTATTAGTACTCTCTATCTATGGTTTTGGTGTATTTCTGTCACCCACAGTTTGCACAAGATGTGGTTTTGACACCTATTCCAATCTTTCTGCTCCTTTCAGGCATTTTGAAGTTTGTGGAAATCACAGTTAACCTCCTGGTGCTGATTTGTGTGGGCGCTTCCCAAGCCTCCGTTGCAGGCTTCACGTCCCTTGGAGGCTTCGGATCCTTTAACCTGAATTCAGCCTACAGCCCCTTTGAGGGCACGGAGCTGCAGGAGGTGAGGGAGCTGGACATGCAGTTCACCCAGATGAGAGCCCCTTGCGTGTACGGCGGCGTAGCCTTCAGCTTAACAGTGGCCACACTCACCCTCGTCTTCCTCGTCGTGGGGGCAAAACCCATCCAGCAGCTCCGGACAGGGCTCCTGGTAGGCGAATGTGCCTTCAGCCTGCTGGCTGGCCTGGCGTACCTGGCGGCCGTGGGGCTGTACCTGCACTTGGTCAGGCAGGTGAACGCCACCGAGGTGTGCAGGAGGCGCGAGCGGCTCTACGCGCGCCGTGGCTACACCTCCATGAACTGCGACGTCCAGGGCGGCGACGCGGCCGTCAGCCTCTTCGGGGTCGTCGCTTCCTGCCTGTATTTTGCCAGCTTTGTGCTCTGCATCCTTGCTATCCGCACCGTGCGGGCCTTCCAGAGCCACGCAGCCAAGGCTCAGCACAGCCCCAAGGGCAGCGCTAGAGACAGAAGTGTCAGAAACCACCACGCTGTGCACCGGCCCTCTGAAAGCTCCCACAACGTCCAGGCTCTCGCCACGTTAGTGTGAAATCAGCTCTGGGACTGGGCCAGAGAGCTGAAGATTCAGCAAAAGATGGACACTCGCAAACAGGCAGCCAGCCCACAGTGTTTTTTCCTTCAAGTGCTGAAGTGTGTATTGAATCACTGGTTGTAACCATACTGCTACAACATCATGTAATAAAATCGACATTGAGTGACTGTTTTAACAAGGATTTTTGCACCGATCTCTCAAGCTGGACTCCTGCATTTAAAATGTGTTTCATTGTAATGTTTTCATCCTGCACGGAGCAAATCCAAAGAGCAGTGGGCTTTTAACAGGTTACAACTGCGTTGCTGCCAAAATGACAAAGGGAATTGAATACACAGCTAGGACGGGCAAATTTCAACGGATCCTGTGTCTGTTGTGTGTCCTGTTCCTTTATCCACTACAGTGCTTCCAAAGCAAAGAACACCCGAGTGCTTCTCTGAATCCTGTCCGAAGTTACACTTGTAACCTGGGCTAGTGAAGCATTTTTTGCCTGGGCTAGGGAAGCATTTTATCTTTTGAGTCACGGGGGTTTACACATGCTGATCATGTGCTCCCTGAGGAATGCCACTGGGGGAACTAGCTGCAATGTCGAAGGCAGCATTCAGGGTCCTTATTCAGTTTCCTACTACATTTTTCCATCTCACTGAGCACAGATCAGAACCTAAGAGGCATCACTGTGGCCAGGTATCAGCTTAATAAAGATACCATTTGCTTCTGTAAGCATCTACACAAGGTTTGGCTTGATGACTCCATGGCCAGTGGTGGGTAGAACCTGAATCGGGGACATGGGAACATGCTGCCTGCCTTGGGAATGCTGTAAAAATGACAAAAAGTACATATCTAAACAGGCAAAGCATGAGTGAACAGCAGTAATGTATGCCCCAGGGTTGAGAAAATAAATTTAAGAGAACATCTTTTAAGAGTCCTTTGAAATAGATCACTGGTCTTCAAAGATGAGGAAAAAGAAAAGGCTGTTTTTCAAGTGCATAAGATTTGTCAGCTTGAGAGGAGGGAAAGCTCTGGCCATTTTAATTCTTTTCAGTTTTGTCTGGCTCACAGTCATTGCCCAGATGAGGCTTTTTTGAACCACAGTAGAGCTTATTTACTGCATACTTCATACATACACATATGTGTATACACACACACATCTTAAAGGACTGTGTTTGAGGCCAAACAAGAAAACATTATGATTCTGATTGGAAGTGATTAGGAGCCTTTATATAAGTACCATTTATATAATTCCTTAAACATATCTTTAACACTTTGAACACCAACAAGTTCCATAGCATTATTATGCTTATGGAGAGACAGGAATAGAGTTTTTCCAAACTTGCTATGACTCACAGTCTTCACAGAGTTAGGAAATTAGGACTTTGATTTCTAGCTCTTTGCCAAAGCCCAGACCTTCCCTGGTATGCTGTAATCAGCTGCAAAGTCTGTTCCAGGGATGTCTGGCATGCAGCTAAAGCTGCAGCTGACCACTTGTTGGGCATCTCTGCCTGCACTCCTGTGCTACCCCTATACCTTGCACAGTTTGAAAGCAGGTTTAGTTACACAATGACACACTGTTATTAACTTATACAAACAACAAAAAAACAGTATGTTGTATTGTTTTTATGTTTCTGTAACTGTTCTGTAATAGTTTACCCCTTCACCCCCCATTTTCTCCCAATGGTTCTACCCCGAGTTTTCCCGTGTTTTCCCTCAATGTCAATCTCCCTAAAACTGCTTAGGCATCCCCCTGTCCCCTCCCTGGTACGTTGTCCATCACTCGGCTCCCCATCCCACTCATCCAGAATCTCTACCCCGGGCATCGAGTGATTGGGTGAGAGCCAGGGGTCCCTCCCTTAAGTTTCCCCTATTGGTTTTTGTATCAGTCTATCCCTCCACCTTCCACTCCCCCAAATCCCCCCACTGGTTAATGGGCGTCCCCTTCCCCTTGTTACCACCCCAGTATTTAACATGTTGAGGGAGTCTGGAGAGGGCTCTTGGCTGTTGGATTCTCTGGAGTTGAGAGCTTCTCCTCGGAGCCTGGGTTAAACCTAAAACTGTTTCCCCAGCCTTGAGTCAGCCCCTTTATTACCTCCTCGGACACCGCCTCTCCTCCAAACGAGGCAGACAGTGCAGCACTCTGTCTTAGCCGCTCCCCGACTCCTCGAGATCCCGGGGAGTGACCCCCACAGCTGACCCTGCCTCTGCCAGGCAGGTGAAGCCAGGGGGCTTGAGGGTGGCATGGCAGCAGCAGCACCTTGAAATGACAAATTCAAAAGCTTAGAAAATGTTGCAAGTAAGAATTCATAAATTTAAATCAGTCCTTAAATACATGTACAATATGAATTATAATCTCAGGGCTTCTTATTCTGTCCCATTAATTTTTGGATGCTTGCCTGGCATTGCTGTGTAAAAGCAATAATCTTCTTGGGAGCATAATTTTTTTTTTTTTCTTTTTGCTTGTCTCTTTATTCCCTGTGTCTGTAGTAAAGGCCTCACTTGCTGCAAGGTATTTCAGTCTTTGGAAGATGGTGCACAGAGCTCCACTTTGGACTATTGCTGTAGTATTCCTCCCTTGGACACCTGGGTCCCTCACAGTCCAAACATTTTGGGTCCCTCTCCTGTTAGCAGGAGCAATTTTAATGTGTTTTACATGGAGAGTCAAAAAGTAGGTGCTGAATACAGATTAGTCACAGTCACATTCTCTCAGCTCCTCACCCAGTTGCTTCCCTCCACTTGTCATCCCCTCTGGTTTCTAGCTTTCACAGCCTCAACTTTATTCCTTATATCAAAAGTAATTCGACTCTCTTTTAGTAAAATGGTTCCCCCTTGTTCTGTCACTACAAATCTCTCTCCACATTTTTCAGCTCTCTTTTATATATTGAAAGACAAAAGGGTCTTCCCAGAGCCTTCTTTTCTTCAGGCTGAACAACCCCAGCTCTCTCAGTCTTTCTTGATAGCCAGCCCTCTGATCATTGTCCTGGCCCTCCTTTGGACTCGTCCCAAAAGGTCCGTGTCCTTTCTGTGCTGGTGACCCCTGAGCGGGATGCAGCAGTGTGGATGGGGTCTCACCAGAGCAGAGCCGAGGGACAGAATGCCCCCCTTCACCCTGCTGGCCATGCTGCTTTTGATACATCCCAGGATATGATTTGCTTTCTGGGCTGGAAGAGCACACTGCCAGTTCAAATCCATTTTTTATTCCCCCTGTCCTTCTCCACAGGGCTGCTCTCGATCCCTTCAGCACCCAGTCTGTACTGATCCTGGTGATTGTCCCAACCCAAATGCAGGACCTCACCCTTGGCCTTGTGTGAACTTTGTGAGGTTCACATTGGCCCGCTCCTTAGGCCTGGAGACCTGGCAGGTGGCTGTGGATGGCATCCCTTACCTCAAGCATTCCAGCCGTCAGCTTGGTGTCATCAACAAACATGCCAAGGTCCTGAAACACTGCAAGCAAAGGGACCCAAAGAAAGCCACGGCCCAGTGAATGACAGTTTCCTGAAAGTTTTGTGCCTTGAATTTGTCTCCTTCCTTGACACCATAAAGAAAGATTATTAGGAAACAATTGTGAAGAGGTAATAAATAGTGCTGTTTCCTCCATTCGCCTTCACAGAAGGAAGTGGAGGAGAGTAGAGGGGAAAATCCCAGAAATACTTCTCAGAGGACTAAGGCAGGAAAGGAGCAGCTTTCCTACCTGTTCGGGTGAAGGACAAGCCAAATGCCATCACCCTGCTTTCCAACTATAAAATAATACTTAAAATCCTCTAGAAGTCATGAAAATCTCGACTGTGTGAGCCAGGAAGGTGTAATACAAGAGCGGAGATTTTCTAGCAGACACACGTGACTAAGGCCCAACAGGCTGTCCCCAGCTTCCACTGCAAGTGGTCCTTCTTCCAGGGCAGATTAGCCTTCCCCCTTTCTGCTGGAGATGGCCGTGCCTGACCATTATCTCTGAGCAGCGACTGCCAGTTAGTATGGGACAATAATGGACATTTGGACCAGTAAACAAAGGCAGGGAAAATGGCTCCTGTCAGCCCTGCCATTCCTTTGAGCCTTTCCCCGCTGCTTGCCCTGTGCATACATGTGCCTGCATTGCCTGCGTGCAGCCTTCAAGGTCAGCACTGAAAACAAGCTCAGCTGTTTCTCTGACACATCCCCTGATTCACCTGCAGCCAAAGGACTGCACACAGCCATCACCCTCAGCCCCACTTTGGTAAGGGCAATCCTCAGGCTGTATCCAGCTTGCCCTCTGTGACCACCACAGCTACTCACCTGCTGTGAAGGAAACAGGGATAGCAAAGGCCAAACCTGCCCTTCTCCAAAAGGCTGTCCTGGGGGTAAACAGCACACCATCTCTCAACCTCAAAGCCTTGGGTACAGCAAATTCTGAGACACCAAGCCTTTTCTGAACCTTCACAAAGACGATTAAAATGGCCACCATCCCTGGAGATGTGAGGAAATGGATGCAGGTTACAGGGTGAACTGGAGCTGCCTGGCAGGAGAAAAGCCCCACTGCAGATGACAGGTCACTAGTGAAAGGAGCTGAGTAGCTCATTCATCTCAGAGCTAGCTGTGAGACTCCTGGCCAACCCCTTTGGGTTTAAACTATCAGTTTGCACCACTCTGCTTCAGTGTAAGCAAACAGCTTTAGTCAGTCAGAGAGAAAATCCTCCAGCTGAGCCCCCCAGCATTAGCCACCCACAGAGGGACCCCCTCCCCACAGAATATTCGCAGAGAAAAATAATCTGTCTTTAAAAAAGTGTCTCTATGCCCTAATCTTGAGGAGGAAACAAAGGGCATAAGATATTTACACTGAGAAGGATAGAAAGATAGAAAAAAAGAAAGTAGAGAGGAGGAAGGAGGGGAGGGAATCCTCTCCCCCGATCCTGCATCCTAACACTGAGTATACCGCCATGAAAATTTCATCATGCTGGGCTGTGCACCTTTGAGTACCCATTTTCCTAGAAGTGTCCTTTATTCAAACAAATTGAGAAAATAGATCGGTCTGGGGTAAATCTTGTCCAAAAGAGAGCAAATCAACATCCAAGGACACAGGTCTCTTGTTTCAGTGGCAAAAGTGCGGGGGTGGAGGACAAAGAGGAGAGAGGATGTTTACTCTTCCAAATAAGCTTAACATAGCCTTTACATTTCCCAAAAAATCATGTATCTGGAACTGGAAATCTGGTGCTG